TGTTTCAGTGTACATTCGGGGAATAGCTACGTCTTTGAAATATTTGCGGCTTGGCAACGTGTATCTTGGATCAACAGTGCGAAGCATTTTTAGGAACCTGGCTTTTCGATGGTGTATATGGGAACCATGTCCTTAGCGATATGAAACGCCACAGCATCTGTAATTTCTTGCCATCGGGGCACCTTTTTGTCATATGGAGTGGCATTGGAAAATGATGCCGCTAATGACATCTGGCGTTTTGCTATTTTAGGTTGCCCCGTTGCACTTGGCTTGTTTTCTTTTCTTAACTTTGAGCATTCTTCCCATTCTACTTGATGTCTTTGTCGCAAATGTTGGAATAAATTAGTGGTGCTGCCACTGCCGGTTGCAACGGACTTTCGACATATTTTGCATTTGACAAAAGTTTGTTCGACGTCTGACCTCTCAAAGCCTAACCATTTCCAAACCACAGAGGAAACGTTACTACTTTTTTTTGGCACAAGGTCATCTTGATGTGAAGAGCCACCCATCTCCATGATGTTTTTCTATAGCCTATTACGTTCCTTCATAGAGTGCTCTCACACGTAAGCGGTTAATTAGGCGCGCCATCATGTGGTCGGACAATATTGCCTTTTAATTATTCTGCCATTGGTGCAATGACAATGTATCTATTTTTTATTATAATTAAAAATCGCGATACCTCGATTTAAGAAAAAAAAAAATCGCCTTAAAACGTAAATTCGAATGAATCGATAGAATCGCCCAGCCTTAGTTTCTACTATCCAAAAACTATAATTACAGTGGGTACGGAAAGTATTAAGACCCCCTTAAATGTTTCACTCTTTATTATATTGCAGCCATATGCTAAAATCATTTAAGTTCATTTTTTCCCCTCATTAATGTACACACAGCACCCCATATTGACAGAAAAACACAGAATGTTTGACATTTTTGCAGATTTATTACAAAAGAAAAACTGAAATATCACATGGTCATAAGTATTCAGCCCCTTTGCTCAGTATTTAGTAGAAGCCCCCTTTGGAGCTAATCCAGCCATGAGTCTTTTTGGGAATGATGCAACAAGTTTTTCACACCTTCATTTGAGTCCAGCTGTGTTTGATTATACCGATTGGACGTGATTAGGAAAGCCACACACCTGTCTATATAAGACCCTACAGCTCACAGTGCATGTCAGAGCAAATGAGAATCATGAGGTCAAAGGAACTGCCTGAAGAGCTCAGAGACAGAATTGTGGCAAGGCACAGATCTGGCCAAGGTTACAAAAACATTTCTGCTGCACTTAAGGTTCCTAAGAGCACAGTGGCCTCCATAATCCTTAAATGGAAGACGTTTGGGATGACCAGAACCCTTCCTCGAGCTGGCCGTCCGGCCAAACTGAGCTATCGGGGGAGAAGAGCCTTGGTGAGAGAGGTACAGAAGAACCCAAAGATGACTGTGGCTGAGCTCCAGAGATGCAGTCGGGAGATGGGAGAAAGTTGTAGAAAGTCAACCATCACTGCAGCCCTCCACCAGTCGGGGCTTTATGGCAGAGTGGCCCGACGGAAGCCTCTCCTCAGTGCAAGACACATGAAAGCCTGCATGGAGTTTGCTAAAAAACACCTGAAGGACTCCAAGATGGTGAGAAATAAGATTCTCTGGTCTGATGAGACCAGGATGGAACTTTTTGGCCTTAATTCTAAGTGGTATGTGTGGAGAAAACCAGGCACTGCTCATCACCTGTCCAATACAGTCCCAACAGTGAAGCATGGTGGTGGCAGCATCATGCTATGGGGGTGTTTTTCAGCTGCAGGGACAGGACGACTGGTTGCCATCGAGGGAAGGATGAATGCGGCCAAGTACAGGGATATCCTGGACAAAAACCTTCTCCAGAGCGCTCAGGACCTCAGACTGGGCCGAAGGTTCACCTTCCAACAAGACAATGACCCTAAGCACACAGCTAAAATAACGAAGGAGTGGCTTCACAACAACTCCGTGACTGTTCTTGAATGGCCCAGCCAGAGCCCTGACTTAAACCCAATTGAGCATCTCTGGAGAGACCTGAAAATGGCTGTCCACCAACGTTTACCATCCAACCTGACAGAACTGGAGAGGATCTCCAAGGAGGAATGGATCCCCAAATGCAGGTGTGAAAAACTTGTTGCATCATTCCCAAAAAGACTCATGGCTGGATTAGCTCCAAAGGGGGCTTCTACTAAATACTGAGCAAAGGGGCTGAATACTTATGACCATGTGATATTTCAGTTTTTCTTTTTTAATAAATCTGCAACAATGTCAAACATTCTGTGTTTTTCTGTCAATATGGGGTGCTGTGTGTACATTAATGAGGGGAAAAAATGAACTTAAATGATTTTAGCATATGGCTGCAATATAACAAAGAGGGAAAAATTTAAGGGGGTCTGAATACTTTCCGTACCCACTGTAGTATAAAAGAGCAATGTCAGAGACAGTTTTTAGATTCATGAGATTTACTTTCTTATAGTGATTAAATAAAATTTCTAATGTAAAGGGATTTTTCCATGAAAGGAACCCAAGAAAACATGTCATGCCAAGTAACGCTCGTCACAGGTTCTGTGTTTGTTTACACTACAGTGCGCATGCTTTGGAGGTGCATTCTGGGAGCTAAATGTCGTCCCTCCGGAGGTAGTACTAAAATCAAGCAACGGGAAGGTGATGGGGGAGGGGGTGCGTGCACACAGAGCAGTCGCTGTGATCAGTTAAATGTCTGTGTCTTAGCATTACAAGAACCATGTGTAAATACACAGCTGACCTGTGTGAGGGGGGAGCAGCCCCTCCCTCCTCTAAACAGAAACTGACAGAGAGGAAATACAGTGGAGAAACAAAACATGATGGTCGGCGTCAACCGCGGAGCCTACGCTTGTGATGGTTAAGGGAAGTACAAGGTGCACTGCTTGTTAGGTTCCCATAGTGGAAACGCAGCAAAAAAGGAGGCTGTGCAAATTAACTAAAAACTTCACAAACACAGCACTGTCACCATTCCTACTGAATAACGTGTAACTGACTTCACTAAAAGTTACCTGTTACACAACAGACTGTTATACATTGGATTTTAACCTTTGCGCATGTTATCACAGTCACAAACTTAAACATTTAATTGAACGAGGCTGCAGCAATTAAGTGAAAGTGGCTGCTGTCTGTGGCTGCATCCTGCCCTCTCTGCTGGGTACACAGCTGCTCTGCTGCAGTGGAGCCACTGGTCTCAGCCTCCACGTCCACAAAGATTCCATCTGTTTTCACACACACAGCTCCACTAGCGTCTCCATTTTCTTCCCGTTCACAACAATCAGCTTAACTTGCACCGCAGTGGTTTTAGCGGAATGAAGAGGACCAGACGTTTAGACCGCAAGGAGGGTGAAGACATCACGTTTGTACAACAGATGTGTGATTAATTACTCTCTCCATTACTGCTGGTGTTGTATATTATATCAAGTGTTTGTGTAAAATGCGACCTCGTGCCTTTGAGAGACGGGGAGGGAGGCGGGCTCACACACACAACAAAAAAGCTGAGCTGACAGTCGGCTTTACTTTTGCTGTCATCACTTATGTTAAAATATATGCAAACCACTGAAATGTTTTCTCTGCTGCCTAACAACCGGGTCAGACAGCATGAGGTTAATAAAAGTTGCTGTTAATTGGTATCATCTGAGTGTAGTATTGGACAACTTTTACAAGTCTAATAGAGAATGGTATCGGACCAGATACTTGTATCGGCTTCGGTGCATCTCTAGTAGAAACCCTTGAAATCTGACTTAAGGCTGGATCTTCTTAGAGCAAAAAAAAGAGTCTGTAACCCAAGATCTGGAAGTAACTGAATACTTGGTCTGAGTCATCTCTTTTTTTTTTTTTATTCTGACTCTTCATGATGTTACTAAACTTTTTCAGTTTCAGACTGGATATTACTGAGACAAACGTCTTGCACTTGACATCTTTAGCCCCTTTTCCACCTACTGGTACCTATTCAACTCTCAGTACCAGGTGCTTTGCTTTCCACTTCAGATAGTGAGGCCTCTGTCACCATAAACTGTACCCTCTGTAACACTCAAGAGAGAAGTGGCAGCTACTACTATGGATGAATAAAGAACGAGCGACTGGTGTCATCACATGTAAAAATCCAGATTCATTGCTGGCAAGACTGTGCGTAGTAACGATGAATTTCTCTGGCCAGTCGCTGTCCTGCAGTGTTTACACATCACCATTTGGCATCGACTAAGCTCACCTGGAACCCCAATGAAGGCAATACCAAAAATATTAAGGTGAGTACAGTTGAGAGGAACTGGAAAATAGGCTTTTGGCTTCCTTTAATTTCTCCATACTGGTATCAAACGGGTCTGGCTCTGCAGTACTACTGAAATATTACTGTAAATACCCAGGCCAAGTCCCAGTGATCAACCGACAGACAGATTTGTCTGAATTAAAAGGTAAAACCCCATCAACCCTGCACCACCCTACCTTCACTGACGGCGAGTCCTCAGAATCATTCCGTTTCTTCAGTATAGATTTTGTCGGCTGACTCAGCATCTCCTCCAGCTCCTTCCTACGTCGAGCCATCTTCAACTCCTTAAACACTTTCTTGGACTTCTTGTCGCTGTCATCTGCGCTGCAGCTGCTGCTCACACTGGGGCTGCGACTTTGACTACGACTTCTCTGCCGGCTCTTACTACGGGCGTGACTCGCTGCTTTGTTATAGCTCTGCCCTCTCCCTCTGGATCTAGACCAGCTGTGGGGGCGACTCTTGCTGCGACCGCGGCTTTTGGCCCGACTCCGGTCCGGACTGCGGCTCTTGCTCCTCACTCGGCTTTTGCTCCGTCCCCGACTCTTAGCTCGGCCCCGGTCTAGACTCCGGCGTCTGGACTCGGGGTTGGGCTGCGGGGCTGGCTCCTGCTCCGGCCTCGACTCTTGTCCCGGCTCCGGCTCCGGCCTCGACTCTTGTCCCGGCTCCGGCTGCGAGGTCGGCTTCGGCTGCGCTCATACTCAGGGCGAGGAGGATAATCTCTGTACAGAAAAACCAGTTTATGTGGACTCAATGCAAAAACCAGAGACCACTGACTTCACTGTCACACAAAGCAGGATCCTGCAGGTGCAGTCTAATCTGTCCCAGTCTTTGACTACTGTGGCTCACAATGACTGAATGTGTAACAGCTTTTGTTAAGAAAAGTGTTATGGAACATGATGGCGTCGCACTAGTGGCAGCCTCACGCAGCAGTTGATTTTATTCTTTATTATGTTCTGGCTGTTTTTTTCCATCTATTTATTTTACAGTTGATAATTATACTTTTTTACCTCAGAGTCCATTTAGTTCTGCATATAATTTACCTATAAACTCTTATTTCCTACCTCACTGTTGCTGCAGCTGCTGTAACAATCCAGTTTCCCTCTCAGGCCCAGTAAAAGTTATTTACTGATAAATGAGAGCTAAAAAAAATGTTCTCAACTTTTGCACAAGTCACAGTTAATGTCTGATTATTTTCTGTTTTTAAGCTGATGAAAGAACATGTAACATGGCTTTAAGGTCCGTCTGCTGCTGGAGTTTATTTATGCCTTTTACCTTCAAAAACCAAGTAGACGTGATTTGTCCAGAAGTTTCTATACAACTGTAGATGTCGTCATCCTCCCTCTCTGATTCCTGTCTGCTGTCTCTTACTCAGCACTGGAGCGAGTGATGGATAAAGCGAAGCCTTTGCAAGCACTGAACCAATATGACGCAGCTACAGTGGTGTGAAAAAGTGTTTGCCCCCTTACTGATTTCTTATCTTTTTGCATGTTTGTCACACTGTAATGTTTCAGATCGTCAAACAAATTTATATATTAGTCAAAGATAACACAAGTAAACACATCATGCAGTTTTTAAATGAAGGTTTTTATTATTAAGGGAAAACAAAATCCAAAACTATAGATCCCTGTGTGAACAAGTGTTTGCCCCCCTGTCAAAACACTGGTTTATCGCACCTGAGTTCAATTTCTCTTGCCACACCTGTTCGCAATCAAGAAATCACTTAAATAGGACCTGCCTGACAAAGTGAAGTAGACCAAAAGATCCTCAAAAGCTAGACATCATGCCGAGATCCAAAGAAATTCAAAAACAAATGAGAAAGAGAATAATGGAGCTCTATCAGTCCGGAAAAGGTTATAAAGCCATTTCTAAAGCTTGGGGACTGCAGCGAACCACAGTGAGAGCCATTATCCACAAATGGCGAAAACATGGAACAGTGGAGAACCTTCCCAGGAGTGGCCAGCCGACCAAAATTACCCCAAGAGCGCAGCGACAACTCATCCAAGAGGTCACAAAAGACCCCACAACAACATCCAAAGAACTGCAGGCCTCACTTGCCTCAGTTAAGCTGAGTGTTCATGACTCCACCATAAGAAAGAGACTGGGCAAAAATGGTTTGCATGGCAGAGTTCCAAGACGAAAACCACTGCTGAGCAAAAAGAACATAAAGGCTCGTCTCAGTTTTGCCAGAAAACATCTTGATGATCCCCAAGACTTTTGGGATAATACTCTGTGGACAGACGAGACAAAAGTTGAACTTTTTGGAAGGTGTGTGTCCCATTATGTGTGGCGTAAAAGTAACACCGCATTTCAGAAAAAGAACATCATACCAACAGTAAAATATGGTGGTGGTAGTGGGATGGTCTGGGGCTGTTTTGCTGCTTCAGGCCCTGGAAGACTTGCTGTGATAAATGGAACCATGAATTCTGCTGTGTACCAAAATATCCTGAAGGAGAATGTCCGGCCATCCGTTTGTGACCTCAAGCTGAAGCGAACTTGGGTTCTGCAGCAGGACAATGATCCAAAGCACACCAGCAAGTCCACTTCTGAATGGCTGAAGAAAAACAAAATGAAGACTTTGGAGTGGCCTAGTCAAAGTCCTGACCTGAATCCAATTGAGATGCTGTGGCATGACCTTAAAAAGGCAGTTCATGCCCGAAAACCCTCCAATGTGGCTGACTTACAACAATTCTGCAAAGATGAGTGGGCCAAAATTCCTCCACAGCGCAGAGAAATTGAACTCAGGTGCGATAAACCAGTGTTTTGACAGGGGGGCAAACACTTGTTCACACAGGGATCTATAGTTTTGGATTTTGTTTTCCCTTAATAATAAAAACCTTCATTTAAAAACTGCATGATGTGTTTACTTGTGTTATCTTTGACTAATATATAAATTTGTTTGACGATCTGAAACATTACAGTGTGACAAACATGCAAAAAGATAAGAAATCAGTAAGGGGGCAAACACTTTTTCACACCACTGTATGTTGAAAACGGTTCACCATTTCAAAGTTGCACATGGCGACACCTGCTGCCAAAACCTTGATAGTGCTTTTGCAGAGGAAGAGTAAATATAATAAGGATAATCACTTTATTTGGCCAAGTATGTTACACACATACAGAATTTGTTTCCGGTAAAGAGCCGAGGCAGCAATCCGTGGCGCCTATTCACACCGATGGCTTTAACCATCAGGGGCAACTTGGGGGTTCAGTGTCTTGCCCAGGGACACTTCGACATGTGGACCGCAGGCACCATGACGCTCTACCCACTGAACCACAGTCGTCCCATGACACTTCAGTGAAATACAATGTAAGTAGACTTAATGCTATTATTATTTTGCTTAATTAAGTTTACAGTGGGTACGTAAAGTATTCAGACCCCCTTAAATTTTTCACTTTTTGTTATATTGCAGCCATATGCTAAAATCATTTAAGTTCATTTTTTCCTCATTAATGTACACACAGCACCCCATATTGACAGAAAACTGAAATATCACATGGTCATAAGTATTCAGACCCTTTGCTGTGACACTCATATATTTAACTTAGGTGCTGTCCATTTCTTCTGATCATCCCTGAGATGGTTCTACACCTTCATTTGAGTCCAGCTGTGTTTGATTATACTGATTGGACGTGATTAGGAAAGCCACACACCTGTCTATATAAGACCCTACAGCTCACACTGCATGTCAGAGCAAATGAGAATCATGAGGTCAAAGGAACTGCCTGAAGAGCTCACAGACAGAATTGTGGCAAGGCACAGATCTGGCCAAGGTTACAAAAAAAAATTTCTGCTGCACTTAAGGTTCCTAAGAGCACAGTGGCCTCCATAATCCTTAAATGGAAGACGTTTGGGACGACCAGAACCCTTCCTAGAGCTGGCCGTCCGGCCAAACTGAGCTATCGGAGGAGAAGAACCTTGGTGAGAGAGGTACAGAAGAACCCAAAGATGACTGTGGCTGAGCTCCAGAGATGCAGTCGGGACATGGGAGTAAGTTGTAGAAAGTCAACCATCACTGCAGCCCCCC